AAATCAATGAAATAATTCAAGGAAAATTCCTTAGAACTCAAAGACATGAGTTGCTCAGCTCAGAAGATGAAAACACTCATATAAAAGCACATCACTGTAAAGTTTCAGAACACGGGAGACAAAGAACCTCTTACAAGCAGAGGAATGAAAATAATGTTTAACTTCTCAACAGTCATACTGAACACCAAACAACAATGGCCGCAATACCTCCAAAATCCTGAGAGAAATTTATTTCTAACTTAGAATTCTACACCCAAACTATCATTAGAGTATGATGGATAGTATACTAAGGGCATTTTCAGACCTGTAAACTTTTGTAAAAAACCTGCCTTGTACCCTGTTTTCTCAAGAGCTACTACAGAACGTGTTCTCTCACAATGAAAGTGTAAATCAAGCAGGTTTTTTCCTTGAGTAAATTACCCAAGAGAAATGACGGCACACGAACCATAAGCCTTGTTTACAGCAGAGTTGTGACAAACAAAAATTTAATTATAATTTATTTTTACCTCTTTATTTTCAAAATTACCAGTAAGGTCTTGCTTTAATATTCTCGTTTGTACTTTGCTTTCCCTTGATTTTGTTGGCCGCTGTACCCTTCCCGCTGTTACTTTCCTCTTAAGATCACTGGAGTTGAGTTTGTTTTTAGGCAAATCTTCAATTACTTTCACTAAAGGAGGAGGTGGCTAAAAGGAAGGGGAAACAAAAAAAAAGGTCTAGTGGATATCCTGGGAAAATAGACCTGTTAATGATTTTTTTTAAATTTGCTTTGATTAATTTAGTTATACATCTTAATATATACTGTTATTCTTCAAGCAATAAGTACAAGCAAAATGCCTAAGAGCATTTTCGTGTTGACTAATAAATCTAAGTAAATTTCTGCCAGATTATCTTTAGAAAAAATAATAAACATGATTAAACAACATAATAAACAGAACTTAATTATTCCTTTAGAGTAGGCCTTAAATCACAGGACAGTAAACCATCTTCACACCTGTGTGATGTTAGAAATCAGGTGGTGATCCACAGCAAAGAAGGCAGTACCTGGCCCTCCAGAAGCTGAAGGAGCACCTTTCTATTCTCCAGGGTCAAGGAAATTTTCCTGAGAGAAGAAACTGATCAAGTGACTTCCCTACTTGCAAGCACGGAACTCCTCCCTTGCTCTCCTTGGTCACAGTTTTCCAATCTGCATAGTGATGGCTCTGTTAGTCTATTACTGTATCAACAGCTTAAGAGGCAGTTCAGGGAGCAAATGTTAGAATCCAAATTCTCATTTTTATGGAGCCTATCAAACAGATAACTCAATTTCAATTTAGGAGCTCTGGTGGCATAGTGCCTAAGGCACCTGACTGCTAACCAGAAGGCTGGTTGTTCAAACCCACCAGCCACTCCTCGGAAGGAAGACTGGACAATCTACTTCTGTAGTGATACCACCTTAGAAACCCAAGGAGGGGTCACTATGAGTTGGATCTGACTCAAAGGCACTGAGTTTTTTAAGGTAAAATAATTCACTAAAACATTTTCTCTATGAATAATGCTCTCTGAAATCGTAAGATCCTTGTTCAAAGGAAATTAGCAGATGAGGTCTTTCTGAGTTCTAAATACAATTTAAGTACAATGATCACTTATTCTGT